GTAGTATGGCCATTTTCACTATGTTGATTCTTCCTACCCAGGAGCAGGGGATATCTTTCCATTTTCTTATATCCTCTTTGATCTCTTTTTTCAGACTGCTGTAGTTTTCAGTGCAGAGGTCTTTTGCTTCTTTGGTTAGATCGATTCCCAGATACTTCATTTGTCTATACACGTTTTGAGAAATTGTCTCACTGTGTTGCTCAGGCTGGCCTCAAATTGCTAGGCTCAAGCAATCCTCCTGCCTCAGCCTCCCAAGTAGTTGGAAGTGCAGATACTCACCACTGCACCTGGCTCTACCTTTTTTTCCTTTCTTTTCTTTTCTTTTCTTTTTTTCTTTTTTTTTTCCTTCTAGACAGGGGTTTCACTAAGCAACTAAACTGCCTGGCAGTGCTGGAATTTCTAATCCTCCTGCCTCAGCCTCCAAAAGTGCTGATTACAGGTGTGAGGCTGAGCCCCGCTTGGTGATGTCAGGGCCATCGGAGTCCCAGGGAGCTGAAGGGGTCACGGGCCGAGGACAGGGAGGATGCCAGAGTCCAGCAAGGGTGCCGCTTACACCCCCACACACGCCTTCAACTGTCAATTCAGTAATGGCGAGAAGGGTTTGGTCCGGATCTGAGGCAGAGCCCCCTGTTTGTGGCTGGTCCAAGCCAGGGACTGGTGGGAGCTGGGCAGGGATGGTGTCCCCAGGAGCGGGCGGGCGCTGCTGAACAGTGGTGTGGGTTGTGCACTGGGCCGATGACAAGGACACCCTTGCAGGATGCCATGCAGGCGTTGCACACGCACACGCTCGTGTGAACACACGTGGAGATTGCCCACTACAGAATGGGTGAAGGTAGTAAATACAGGCTGTGGGGACCCAGGAGCTGGGGAGAGCCGCCCCGGGCCCTGCAGGGAGCCGGCTCGGTGTCCTGGGGATGCGGTGGCTCCTCGGGCCCCGACTCCCCGGCAGGGACAGAGCAAGAGCACAATTAGCCCGAGTCCTAATCGGCCCCCGGGGACCGGGACGGCGACAGAGTTAAGCCCGCCTGCCAGCTGAGGGCCTCTGTGCGGCCGCAGCCCAGGTCCCAGGCCCAGCCGGTGAGTGGAGCAGGGGCTGCGCCTCCCCTCCCCGGGCTTCCTCTAGAGGCGAACGGGAAAACGGAAACCGGCAGCGCGCCTGGGTCCTGCCTCGGACCTGGAACCTGGGACCGAGAGGCTGAGGCAGGAGGAAGCCGAGTCCCACTCCAGACTGGACCACTTGTGCCTAACCCTAACCCTGTCTAAGAACAAAGCGGTAATAGGAGCTGGGCCCCACCCCGGTAGTGACGGGACAGGAGGTGCCGGGAACAGTGCTGCGCTGAGGCTGGGCTACTGCGGATCCGGCCGGCGCCTGAGCCACAGCGGGAGGGACAGAACCAGCCGGACGCAGAGCGCGGGGACCGGGCATCTGGGGCTCAGTGCAGGAGGTGCCCAGAGGTGTCCGCACCTTCGGAGGGGACCCTGAGGGACAGCGACCCTGCCGGGAGAGCGGGGTATGGGTCTGCGTTATTCACCCGCCAGACCACGCCTCACTGGGTCAGAGTCGCCCAGGCTGCGCCGGACTTGGGATCCTCCTGCCTCGGCCTCCCAGAGTGCTGGCTTCTTGTTCCATGGCTCTCGGGCCTGAGGCAGGACAGGGAAGCCGGCACTGTCTGGGGCCAGGTGTTCCGTTTCCTTGTGTCTTCCTTGCGCCTACAGGGAATGAGGTCCAGTGTGAGTGTGAATGCGTGTGCGCGTGTGTGTGTGTGTGTGTGCGTGTGTGTGCGCGTGTGTGCCTCCATGGGACACGCCAGGCGCTTGAGGAACCTACAGGGAATGAGGTCCAGTGTGAGTGTGAATGCGTGTGCGCGTGTGTGTGTGTGTGTGTGTGTGTGCGTGTGTGTGTGTGTGCGTGTGTGTGCGCGTGTGTGCCTCCATGGGACACGCCAGGCGCTTGAGGAAGTGCAGGAGACCCGGGCCCTGCGCCCTGACGTCACTGGGGTCGGAGGTCACCCAGGGACCGCTTTGCCGTTACAGCCCCCAGGCGCCAGGGACCGCTATAGTCAGGCTGTGCTGTATGCGTCAAAGTTTCATGAAAGGGCAGTGATTCTGCATGCATCTCCCTGCAGTTAGTTCTCTTCTGACCGGCAGTCTCTGTGAGTTTTCCATTGTTGGGGGGGTGCCTTTGTTTTTCGTGCTAGGAATCGAACCCAAGGCTGCCCCGCTGAGCGACACCCCCAGCCTCCTTTATATTTTTTTGAGACAGGGTCTTCTTAGGCTGCCCAGGCTGGGCTCAAACCTGAGATCCTCCTGACTCAGCCTCCTGAGTAGCTGAGATGACAGGTGTGCACGCATCTTTTCTCTTGTCGCCCGGTGGCACCTCTCCAGGGTTTGCTCGTTCACTTCTGCCGCACTGCTGTCACCATCTCACGGTCCAGCGACAGCTTGGCCACACCGAGGTCGCCCAGTAAGCAGTCGATGAACACGCATGGAAGGGTGACAGCACACAGGCTGGCTGGGCTGAGAGGACAGAAAGACCAGGAAGAGGCACCGGGGAGAAAGTTCCACCCGGGCCCAGACCAGGAGTCCGGAGAGCAGAGGAGGAGCAGGCATGGCTGGGGGTGGAGGCAAAGGAAGCACTGGAAGTGGGTCTTGAGCCTGCAGTGGTGTGAGGGGCGCACTACGGGTGGAGTGCACAGCTCATGCCAAGGTCCTGGGGCAGCACTGCCTGCAGCCAGGAGACCTGCGTTGCTAGGCACAGTGATGTGATGTGAAATCAGGAAGCCCGATGTGCTGGGATTTTCTCCACACTACAGGGTGGGCAGTGAAGGGTACTTTGTTCAAGTGAACAGGAAAGGAGAGGAATATTTCAGTTATCAGAGCCGCGAATGAAGGGCAAGAATGAATCCATCTTTGTAGGAGCCCCAGCTCCTGCCTGGTGGAGCTGCTGGTGTAGGTGAGGCAGGACGGTTGGAAAGAGATCTAGGTGGAGACAGGGGCGAGTGCAAAGGCCCTGGGGCAGGGAGGGACAGAGGACAAACAGCCTGCAAGGAGGAGGGGTAAAATCCAAGGGCTGTGGGCTGGGGACATTTCCAGGTGGGTGGGAGGGAGCAGAGAGGGGAGCTGGGCTCTGAACGGAGAAGGGCCAAGGAGAGCACAGCTGAATCTCCTAACCGCTGTGGAAAACAGACCACCAGGGACCGAGGAGAAGACGAACCAGTTGGGTGACAGCTGCAAGATCCCAGAGCGAACTGAAGAGGAGGCAGGGCCAGGCCAGTCTGCACGCAGGCACTAGGGTGGAGCAGCCTGTTGGAGGCAGAGGCCAGGGTGTGGACCCGGGAGGGAGGCAGCGGGGTGATTCCGAGGTTCAGAGCGATCACCACAGGGCAGCACCGCCCTTCCTGGGCTGAGTCATGGTCTCTGGGCCCAAGTGTCAGGCGTGTGCCCCTGACGGAAAGGTCACACCACACCTTTAAAAACCGCAGTTATCATGCGCCCTGAAAAGTGTGCAGAGTTTATGCTTTGTTTGTTTTTTGAGACGGGGTCTCACTATGTAGCCCGGAATCACAGGTGTGCGCCCCTTGTCAGGCTATCGTTGGATTGGGGGGTACCGGGGATCGAACTCTGGTCCTTGCTCTTTTGAGGCAGGCAGTGGAACCACTGAGCTACATCCCTGGCCCTGCATTGGATTTTATTAATGTTTGGTCCCCAGAGCTTCTCAAACTTCTTCTGACCATCTTCTAGGATTCAATATATTATCATCTTACTTTTGTCGTAAAAAAGACAGTAGTTCCTTTTTATAAAATTTAGCGGATGCTCCGATAGTCTCTGCCCCGCCTCCCCCAAGCTGGTTTTACTCTCGGTTTTCAGAGAGCACAGAAGTGCCTTTACATCTAAATGCTTACAACTCCAGTTCTCCCTCACGTGTCTGCACTCACGCCTGCGTGTCCCAGCACTTTTCTGTGCGGCAGCACATTCTCGCCGGCTCTGATCACTGAAATATTCCTCTCTTTTCCTGTACACTTGAACAAAGTACCCGTACCTGCTAGAACTGCATTTATTGAAGCCAGATCTTTCCTTTAGAGAGAAAAGTCCGTGTCATTCTCTAAATGCTGACTTACTCCTTTCGCATCATTTTTATTAAAACGAATCTACAAAGCCAGGCATGGTGGTGCCTCTGTAACCCCAGCTCTCTGGGAGGCTGAGGCAGGAGGATGGCAAATTTGAGCCCCAGCCTGGCAGTTTAGGGACTTAGCGAGACTCTGTCTCAAAGCAACAAAAACAAAGCAAATTTCATTTCGCCTCAAAGTTTTGAATTTCACTCTGTACACAAATTAGGAAAAACATTTAGTGACTCTTTGAAACTTCACTGATAATAGTCAAAAGTTTACTGATCTCATGAAAACAACCAAAAAAAAAAAACAGGTTTCTTTACTGACAAAGTAGTTTTCTGTCAAGCTGGTTTCCCTTTTCAGGGAATCAAGTTTTGCCACAAGCAAATCCTCAGGTCTCAGTGGCAAAACCAAGCCCCTGCCAACATTACTTCTTTGGAATTTTTATTAAACTTTCCATTTCTGAAGCCTACCTTGCTTTCGTTCAGCTCGTTGCTAAGTGGAACTGGGGGGTGGACTCTAGGACTCCGCCCACGCCAGGCAAGTGCCCCTCCTCCCGCTGGACCACACCCCCGAGCCCTTCAGTGGTAAAACAAAAAGCATTTATTATGTACGTATTTGCAGTGCTGGGATGGACCCCCGGGCCTTTGCACTAAGCTGCATCCCCAGTCGTTTTTATTTTTTACTAAGTTCCTAAACTGCCCAGGCTGGGCTGGAGGTTGTGATCCTCCTGACAGCCTCCCAGAAGAGAGCGCCGCCCATCCACGCAGCATTAATCTCCAATTGCAATTGCAAGGAACAGCTCTGAACAGGATCGGCCTCCGGTACTTACAACACCTGTCGCCGTGAGTTCCCATATTTTGGCCTTAAAACTTCTATTTTTCATTCCAGAACTGCAGGCTGGGTCCAGCTCCCCGTGAGCTGTGCGTGACACGGCCACAGAGCTGTCGCAGGCTTCCGGGTCCCCGCAGGCCTCCGCCGACCCCAGTGCAGTTCGCTGTGGACACCGCCGCACAGAAACCACAACAGGGGCCGCGGCTTTAGCTCAGTGGTGCCGCCGCCTGCTTTCACAAGCGCACAAGGGGCCGAGTTCGATCCCTGGTACAGAAAAACAACGCAAGGCATAAACCCTAAGGACCAGGTAAGCGCCTGGAGGGGAGGGAGGGTAAGGATCGCTGGGCTCCACCCCCACGGTTAGTGCTGCCTCTGCTTTGGGGATTCCTGCCAGCCTGCGCCCAGTGCTCCCGAGCGCTGAGCAGACGTCCGTCCGGGGTCGGCGTGCAGATGGTGCGGTGTGGGTCTGACCCCGGAGGGACACGAGTTCGAAACTCGGCCTCGACGTGGTGACGTCTCGAGGTCGCGGGTCGCTCCAGAGGTGGGCGGCGGACGTGAAGAAGCAGCCGGTGCCCTGGGAGGCTGCGCCAGGGGCGACAGAAGCTCGAGCCCAGCCAGGCCGACCTAGGGACTCAGCAAGACCCTGTCTGAAGGCGAAAACTAGAAAGGCCCGGGACAGAGCTCAGGGCGAAGGCTGAGCTCAAGCGCCAGCATTATGGCAAGAAAAAAGAAGAGCCAGCCTCTCTTGGGGACGCTCAGGTCACCCTGGGGGCGCCGCGCCGGGCCGGGACGAATGCGGCCCCCCCC